TTTTTTTTTAAAAAAACTCATTAGTACCTGTTGGTTGTTAGCAATAGAAGTCAAGCTGTGGGTGCTCAAATTTATGCATTTATTGCTTCTTAAGGTTTTGAGTTTTCTTATTTGGCCATTATAATCTATCAACATTGGGATGTCTTCTTTCCTTTGTCCTCATGCTAGTGGTTTTGACTAAAGTAAATGAAATGGTTTTGGTTGATGAGTTGTTGGTTTTTATTGGCAGGTGAAGGAACGTCAACATGAAGAAATTCAGAATGTTCGAAATCACATTCATTCATGTTTCTCTGATGTTACATGCTTTCTCTTACCACACCCAGGACTCCAGGTGGCCACAAGCCCTGACTTTGATGGGAAAGTGAAAGGTATATTACATATGTTATTTTATTTTATTTTTAGACAGTCTCACTGTGTCACCCTTATGTCATAGCTCATAGCAACCTCAAACTCTTAGGCTCAAGCGATTCTTGATTCTTTTTTTTTTTTGAGACAGAGTTTTAGTATGTTGCCCTCGGTAGAGTGCTGTGGTGTCACAGCTCACAGCAACCTTAAACTCTTGGGCTTAAGTGATTCCTCCCAAGTAGCTGGGAATACAGGCACCCACCACAATACCGAGCTATTTTTTTTTTTTTTGTAATTGTCATTGTTGTTTGGCAGGCCCTGTTGGGTTCGAACTTGCCAGCTCTGGTGTATGTGACTGGTGCCCTAGCCACTGAGCTAGAGGTGGCAAGCCTTTTTTTTATTTGTGACAGAGTCTCACTATGTTGCTCTTATGTCATAGCCCATAGCAACCTCAAACTCTTGGGCTTAAGCAATTCTCTTGCCGCAGTCTCCCAAGTGGCTGGGACTACAGGTGCCTGCCACAACACCCAGCTATTTTTTAGAGACAGATCTTGGGCTGGCTCAGGGTGGTCTCAAACTCAGGCAGTCCACCCACCTTGGCCTCCCAGAGTGCTAGGATTATAGGCGTGAGCCACTACCCGGCCTCTAGATGTCATTTTAAACATGTAATTTGATCTTTGTAATTAAAGAACAATGAACCAATTATGCATCAAACAAATGCTTAAGAGAAACAGTATAGTCTCTTAGTATGTATGTATGTATTTATTTATTTTGGGGGACAGAGTTTCACTATGTTGCCCTAGGTAGAGTGCTGTGAAATCCCAGCTCACAGCAACTTCAAACTTTTGGGTTTAAGTGATCGTCTTGCCTCAGCCTCCCAAATATGTGGGACTACAGGTGCCCACCACAGCACCTGGCTATTATTTTGTTATCGTTGTCATTGTTTAGCAGGCCTGGGCTGGGTTTGAACCCACCAGCCCCAGTGCATGTGGCTGGTGCCCTAACCACTGAGCTACAGGTGCCAAGCCAAGTCTCTTAGTATTTAGAGTCTAGTTCAGATTTTGCTCCTTACTTACTGTGACCATCAGAATTAGTTTACCTTGGCTTCTTCATCTGAAATGGTGGTGGTAGTAGCCACCATTATAATCTAAAAGACTTGTTCTGGTTTTTAGTTTACAAGAGATACAAGTGCTAAATAAAAGAAGCTAATATTTAAGTCAGCTGACATTTATTAAGTAAAATTCATTTCCCAAGGAGAGGTAGCATGATACGTGGCAGAGCTATTATTTTTTTTTTTTTTTTTTG